TCAAAAGTTGGCCAAAACCAAAAACATTAATTAATTGAAAGATAATATTCTTTAAACACACGTTACTTAATTATATGTAAATTAAATGTTTGTTATTCCTCGCTAAGGGCAGCAACACGTATAATAGTTGGCTACACGTTACTTTATTCATCTTTTCTTTATAAATACTCCGGTCTCATATTAGTTATATTTTATAGTATTTATTTAGTTTTTTTTATAAGTTACGGTGTAATTTTTTAAGTAATATTTAAAAAATATTTTTAAAATTATTTGTTATGAAAGGAAAAAAGTAACATAAGATCACTTTTAAAATTTGTTATATAAGAGTATATTTAAAATTTTATATATTTTTTTCTTTATATTTTTTTATATTCATATAAATGAGATTAATAAAAATGATTTATAAAGAGAATAAGAGGAGCACATTTTTTTTTCGTCCATTTCATAAATTTTTTTTTTATAAAAAGACAAATTTTATTAAATAAAATAAAAAATTACAAACAAAAAGTAAAGAAAAGTAGTTGAGCTACTCTCTCAGCAGCTCGGAAAACGAAAGAACAACTACCCGTATGCTTTTTGTTTTAATTTATTTCACTTACTTTTTCCTATTCATCAAAAGGGAAAAAAATGATAGAAAAATTTTGTTGAAATATAAATGAGAATGAGGCTCGTAAAATATCATAACTTTTCTTAAATTTTTAAAAAATTTTATGACATTAATAATTTGATAAAATGATTGAAATACTTTATTCAATAGAGATAAATATAAAAATTATATTAATTTAAAAATAATTAATTATTTTATTGAGAGGTGAGACTCGGTTAAAATTGTCTTAAATTTTTGAAAGAGGGAGTATGTATTTAATTTTTTAAAAAAAATACTAAAAAAATCAGCTTGTATAACTAATAAATTTAAAATATGAATAAAAATTTAAAACAATACGTCAAAAATGATATTTTAGTCCAACAACTCTCAACTAATGATTAAATAAATGAAAATGATAACTTGTAAAATGTATTTTTATATTTTGGCTCTTAAAATAGAGGAGAAAGTAATCTTTTTTATCTTAAGAACACTAAAAAAAATTTAATATTTATTTTTATTTTTACTTTTAAAAACTAAAATATTCTTGTGCATTATACGGGGCATAAATCTAGTTTATATTTGGTAACCCGTGACTCAGACACATGCTAATATTTCTGTATTTCTTTGATTGTGCCCTAAGGTTTGTGTAGTTGATTATTCAAAGATTTTAAAATATGAAACCATGTCAACAACAATTATAAGGTATGTAAATTATTTGATTATATAGAAAATCTATGAGGCGGTAGCTTGGTTTCATATGTTAATATTTTTTATTTTTAATTAGGTTTTTCTCACTGGTTTAGGGCCCTAAGGTCTGCCAGTACCTATTGCCAACAAATGAGTTCTTTCTCTATTTCTCAAAATTAGTTTGAGTTAAAAGAAATTGTGAGATATTTTTAACATGTCACGCCATTTACTAGCATATTTGAAAGAAATTTGCCCAAATACTGAATATTAAATAATTATATTAAAAATCAAATTAATAGTAATAAATAACTCAAATACGCTGTGCCAAATAAAATTTGTAGAGAATTACACATAAGTCTCCCATATCACAATTAAATTTTACAAGGTTCACGTTAAGGAATATACAGTTGCGTTAAATAAATATATTAAAGACATTTTCAAAATATTCATAAAGCTATTGTTGATAATAACGATTCACACAATAAGAGTTCAAATTAATTTGGATGGAAGGTGATAGTACCTCCAAATTTTTTAATATATCAAGTGATGAAAAAAAAAAAAAAAGGTTCATTGAAAACTTAGCATACTGAAATGACAACAATTTTAGTTGATATTTTGTTATATTTAGTGAATCTTGTAATATTTAATTATATTGTGGGTGATTCAACGTAATTCTTCTTAAAATTTTTAATTAGTAAACTAAAAGTAACTGATAAGAAATAATGAATAGCATTATCAAGTCTTCGAGAAAATCTTAAATTACTAAGCAATGATTGTGTCTGAAGCAATGGTTGCTTTTTTCTAAAAACGAGGTGAGAAATGCGAGTGGATGACCGTGAGCGTGATGCCGCTACTAATTAAATAGGCAACTTCTGCCTTCGTTGCAGAATAATTGCTACTGACTACCACTACGGAGATGTGCATTTAAATTAAAAAAAAAAAATTAATTTTTTCATCCTTCAATTTTTAAATCATTTATAACTCAGTTCCTCAACTATAATTAGCTTATGGCTCAATCTCTCAACTTTTAAATCACTTATAAATTAGTCCCTTAACCTTTGTTAATTTTTTTTTCATATTAGCTTATATCTCACATTAATGAATAAGAAGAGGGTATTTTGAAATAATATATGAGCATTTTTTTATCCCTCTTATTTGATAAAAAAATTTAAAAAAAATTAAAAATAATGACCGAGTTATAGGTAAATCAAAAGTTGAGGGATTGAGTCGCAGCGAGTCATAGTTGAGGGACTGAGTTACAAGTGAGTTAAAAGTTAAAGGACAAAAAAATTAATTTTCCCTTAAAAAAAACTATGATGATGTGATTTTTTTAATTTGATAAATGAAAGTTTAGGTGGTGCATGTCTCCAAGTACAAAAAAAACATTTACAAAGATACTTATATATCATCCATAGTAAGATCTTCATATTAGTATAGGGATTTGATCCCATAACATTGTAGGTTATAAGCACTACTACATAATATATCTTTAGGAGCGGGTATTTAGAAGTGCTTTTTAAATAAGTGCTCTAAAATGTGAATGCGAAATTTACCAGAGCGCTTTTCTAAATAAGCGTTCATGTATGTCAGGCTTCTCAATAAGATAACGTTTCTAATTAATATAAATAAAATATTGTAAAAAATTTAAAAAGATCTTCGGGAGCGCTCGTACTTCAGCACTCCGGAAGATACTATTCCAGAGTGCTCGTGAAGGAGCGCTTCGGAAGATCAGATCTTCCAGAGCGCTCCTATACGGCACATACCGAAGTGCTCTTTTACGGGAGCACTCTTATAAAGAGCACTCTTATTCCAGAGTGCTCGTGAAGGAGCGCTTCGGAAGATCAGATCTTCCAGAGCACTCCTATACGGCACATACCGAAGTGCTCTTTTACGGGAGCCCTCTTATAAAGAGCGCTCCGATATGGCAGCATACAGGAGCGCTCTTGTAGAGAACGCTCCCGTATATGATGTGTGCCCTTATATACCGAAACTCCCTTACAGGAGCACTTTTCGAAAAGCGCTCCTGTATAGCGTACATACAAGCGCTCCTGTACATTTTGAAGTGCTCAATACGAAAGCGCTTTTGAAGCGCTTCTTAAGGTAAAAAAAGCGCTCATATAAACTTATTTTGTAATAGTGAAGTCAAATTCTTATCGATTAGACTAACCTTTATTAATAAGCCTTATTTGCTTCATCTTGTGCTTGTGTGCAATCTGGCTCGAGTCAGGTTTAGGTGTGGCACTAGATTGGAGTCTAGCCATCTTAACTTGACTTGGCCACATATAAGATTTTAAGTTTTTAATTTTTTTTGTTAATATTAATTGTTTATTATATAAGTTTAGAGAATAACATTAAAGGATTGAAATATTGAATTAAACTTTAATAAGGATCAAAAGATTTGGAAATCCAAATCTTTAAGTTAAGAAAAAAGGAAAAATCTATTGTTGATAATTTCTCTTAAACAAATAAATAGTTTTTTCTGATATTCTTGAAAATTTTGAGATATATACTTTTTTTGGTGTGATGAGATATATATTTTATTTATATAGTTTTGACATTTTTCACTTATAAATAAGTGATTATACATATTTTTGAGCAGTATTCTTAAATAGAAAATGGAAAGACGTTTGAAAAGGAAATTTTCAAGAGATGAGTAACAATCTTTCATTAAAATCTTGTTAGTCATCACTTTATGAATAACAATAAACTGGAATCAATCTAGAAAATATACCATTAGATCTGGGGAAAAAGATTAAAAATTCATCATCATCCTAATGATTGAGATGAGATATATGGAAAGACCATATTTACATAAAAGACTATATTAACCTATTCAACACAATTTTCCCAAAAGGAAAAAAAAGAGCATCATTTACACTTATATGTTTACCTTTTTGGGTTGGATGCAATCATTTTTTAATTGTTAAATTATTAATGTTTTTTTTGAATTATTTATTTTAAATTAAGTTGCCTTGTATCTCCTAACTCAGGTCCTTCTCCAATGCAATTATTTAGTACTCATTCCATCTCAATTTATAAAATATTTTTAGACAAAATTATGCGTACCAATAAATCTCATTAAATGCATTTTATAACTTTATTTTTTTAAAAATAAAAATATAAACTTTTAAAAATGCTCTTCATTTAATATTTCATTTGTAAAATAATATAAAAAAGAGAAAATGTAATGGGAATGATAATATTAAAAAAATACTATTAATGAAATCTTATTTTTTAAAAAGTGTACTATATTTTGAGACAATGAATTTCCTCCAAATATATCTTATAATTTGGAACATAGATAATATATTGTAAAGTTGATGGATATAAGCGTGGAGACAAAGCCAAACAGATCCTTTTAATCAAGCCGTTTCTGAAGTTCAAAACGCGTTGGGGAAACAATAATGTTTTCCTCTTGCTTATTATGAGAAAGCGATAAAGAACAAAGTGAGACTTCCTCAACTTCAAAAAGGAAAACTTTAACAGATCAGATCATTATCTACTTTATGTCCCTCCACACTTGGATATTATTATAAGGGGAAAAAAAAAAATAGCTCCGTTGAACCTGCAGGGCCAGTCCATAGTATAAGGTCTGCATCATCAACATGAGCTTTACCCCAGCAAGCTTCACAAACCCACCATTTACAGCCACCAACTCATCACCTGTCGATCGAACTAATATTCAGTCTTTGAATATATTCCTGATTCGAAAACTTTACTGAGAACCATGTTAGAAGTACGGTGTATTATTCTCTGCATATTCTTCTTTGTTGCTTCCTTTGCATCTGTTGCTACTGAAGATAGCGAAGCAAAAGCTCTGTTGAACTGGAAAGCCAGCCTGAACGACCATAGCCAAGCAACCTTGTCTACGTGGAACAATGACACTGATCCTTGTGGACACTGGAAGGGGATTTCATGTGATGTATCTTTGTCTGTGATCAGTGTAAATCTGTCATATCTCAGCCTCCAAGGCACACTTGACCGTCTCAACTTCGCTTCCTTTCCTAATGTGAAATATTTTGATGTAAGTAACAACATAATTTATGGAAGCATTCCCCGCAAAATTGGTAACTTGTCCAGTATTTTGAATTTGAGTTTGTCGGATAATTTACTTGGTGGTCCCATCCCTCCTGAAATATGGAAACTGACCACTCTAAATAGTCTTGATCTTAGTACATGTCGTTTTAGAGGGCAAATTCCCCATGAAATTGGCAATTTGAGGAATTTGACGTCCCTATCACTTGGAGAAAATTTCCTTTCTGGTCCCATTCCAGAAGAGATTGGAATGCTGAATAATCTTTTGATGCTTCATTTGGGACACAACCCTCTGTCAGGTAGAATCCCATCATCAATTGGAAACTTGACCAAGTTACAAGAAATTTATCTTTATGAGAACAATATCTCAGGTCCTATTCCTAATGGATTCTGGAAACTCTATTCTCTCAGTATCGTTTATTTGTATTCTAATAGACTTTCCGGGCCACTCGCTCCCTGTATAGGAAACCTAACAAATCTCGCATTATTGCTCAAGTATGAGAACAGATTTTTCGGTCCAATTCCTTCATCCATTGGTAACTTGGTCAATTTAGATCAGGTCTATCTTTACAACAACAGTCTTTCAGGATCCATTCCTTCCACCATAGGAAATTTGACCATGCTCACCATCCTAGCCTTGGACATCAACAATCTCACTGGTCAACTTCCGCAAGAAATGAATAATTTGACAGCTTTGTGTAACATACAACTGAGTGATAATCACTTCACTGGCCCTTTGCCACAACAAATTTGTCAGAGTGGGACTTTATACCGGTTTGCTGCTGATGCTAACCATTTCATTGGTCCTATTCCAACAAGTTTGAAGAATTGTACTAGTCTAGAAAGACTCAAGCTTGATAATAACCAGTTAGTTGATAACATAACAAATGCTTTTGGAGCATATCCTAGTTTGAACTACATCAACCTGAGTGGCAATAAATTGTATGGCTACCTTTCATCCACGTGGGGGAAGTGTCAAAACCTCACACAATTGATTATTCACAATAACGAGCTTTCTGGTGGCATACCACAAGAATTGGGAGAGGCAAGTAAGCTTGGTGAAGTTGGCTTGGCTTCAAATCATTTATCTGGAAAAATTCCAAAAGAATTAGGGAAGTTGGTCTCGTTGAAAATTCTCTCTCTGAGCCACAATAACTTTTCAGGTAATGTCCCCTCAGATATAAGATCACTTAGTCAACTTACAATTTTGGAGTTGGAAGCAAATAATTTCAGTGGCTCAATCACAAGAGAGATTGGAGAATTAAAAAGCTTAATTTTCTTGAATTTGAGCAAAAACAGATTTGATGAAAGCATTCCCCCTGAGTTTCGTGAACTCAAAGATCTTGAGCAACTTGATCTTAGTGACAATTTGCTGATTGGAACAATACCAGCTACACTTGGAATGTTACCCAAGTTGCGAGTATTGAACCTCTCACATAATCATCTCTCTGGCACCATTTCTTCCATTTTCGGTCCAATGTCAGCTTTGTCTACTGTTGACATATCAAACAATCAATTAGAAGGCCGCCTTCCTAAAAACTCAGCCTTTTACAAGTTTGATGCATTGAGGAATAATAAAGGTTTGTGTGGTAATGTCACTGGTTTAAGTCCGTGTGGTGATTCCAAACTAAATGGACATAGCCATGGGAGTAAAAAGTTCTTGATAATATTCCTCCCATTGGCCATACTGCTATTAGTACTTGTTGGAGCATCTTACATTTTTTACCGAATAGCAAAAAGCAAAGATGGACAAGCACCACCAGACGAGGTTTATTCTATATGGAATCTTGAAAGAGAAATATTGTATGAAGATATCATCGAAGCCACAAAGGAATTTGATGACAAATATCTTATTGGGAAAGGCAGCCAAGGAAATGTTTACAGGGCTGAGTTGCCTACTGGTGATGTTGCTGCTGTAAAGAAGCTTCACTCTTTTGGTGGAGAAATCTCCAACCAGAAAGCTTTTACAAGTGAGCTTCAGGCTTTGACAGAACTCAAGCATCGTAACATTGTGAAGCTATATGGGTTTTATTCCAATGCTCAATTCTCCATCTTGGTTTATGAGTTCTTGGAAGGTGGCAGCTTGGATAACATACTAAAGAATGAGAAACAAGCCACTGAGTTTGATTGGAAGAAGAGGGTGAATGCTGTTAAATGTGTGGCTAATGCATTATTCTATATGCATCATGGCTGTTCAATTCCTATTGTTCATCGTGACATATCAAGCAAGAATATTCTTCTAGGTTCTGAATATGAAGAAGCTCACATCATTGACTTTGGAACTGCAAAGCTTTGAATCCTGACTCAAAAAATATGACCACATTTGTCGGCACATTTGGGTACGCTGCACCAGGTAACCTCTTCGGTTTTTTTTTTTTCTTTTCTTTTAACAAAGTACTACTCTTCGCTATATTATGGATATATATACATGTAACATTAAATCTGTTGCAGAGATAGCTTTCATCATGGAAGCCAATGAGAAATGTGATGTTTATAGTTTTGGAGTGTTGACTTTAGAAATCATCATGGGAATACATCCAGGAGAACTTATTTCATCTTTGATGGAGGGATCAACTGGTGATGATTTGTTGTTGAAGGATGTGTTAGACCCACGACTTTCTCCCCTCACAAAACCAATCCTAGATGAGGTGATCCTAGTTGCAAAAATAGCATGGTCCTGTTTGAATGAGAATCCTCAGTCTCGTCCAACCATGGAACAAGTATCTACGGAGCTTGCAAGAACTCCAAGATTTTATTTAGAGGATCAATTTCACACCATCACAATTGGACAACTCATGAGGGATTGAACTTCGTTTGTATAGTTCTACTTTGTTTAAATGGTTGACTTGACATTTTAACGTGCATGTATTGTAAATTTGTGGTTTTTGTATCATATGTATGACAGTTCCGGGCTTGAATAAATTTGAAGTGAATGTTTGGTTTCAAAGTTTTCTTTCCACTCTTGTAACATAATAGATAGCTATAGTTATTCTTCTTGTCGGGATTCACAACACTTACAAATACAAAAATTATTTTTTTTTTATTTTCTTACACTACTATATAAAAAGCTGATGACCTCTTAGGTAAAAGGGAGGAGTTTTTATGAAAATTGAAAATAGAAGTGAAAGTAAAAGTGAAAATAAAAGTGAAAATGTATTTTAAAAGTATGTTAGGTATGCATATAAAAGTGGTGGGATCATAAATTTATTTAACAAATATATTCATATTTTTTGAAAGATCAAAATACCCATAAAAAATCCATCTTATCACGACATATCTTTGCGGATAGCTTCGTCACAAGATTGATTGAAATGGAGTGAGACGTCTCCATTGTCGCCTCACTATTCTTAACAATCCTTGTCATGGAAGCCTGATCTTTACCTTACCGAGATCTCTTTGTTGCCACTATATCGTCGCCGTCATCATGACAGGTGGAGGTGGATGGCAGTGTCTCGTCACTGGAGGTTTCCGAAGAGGGCGGCCATTGGACTGTTTAGAAAGATAGGGTTATGATAATGTGATGGGCAAACTTGTCAATAAATTATAAAATTGAGGGCATAATGGTCTGAAAAAAGTCACTTCCGTGGAACCCACCATCCAATTCCAGGCGTTTTGGTGGAAGACTTTCACAGAGAAGTCTATTCCAACATGCCAAACAGTCCATTTTTAAAGTTTCATTCTCACTTCCTCTGTACTATCGAATTAGGCATTATGAAAGCATTTTCGGAATGCACTTTATTTAGACATTTTCATAATTGCAGAGTCTTCTGAAAATGCTCTCATAAGTGCCACAATGCTCCCCGTGACATACTTACGAGAACATTTCTTTCACAAAAACCCCCTCATATATTATTTATTTAAATCGAATGAATTTAAAATGAAAAAAATAAGTAAAATCTGAATCAAAATCAAAATTATATTCTAAAGAAGAATATTATAAGAAAATATACACTATTACAATCAAATTATGATTTTTACATTTTAAAAATAAAGAAATTTATAACAGAAATATGCTTATAAAAACGCTCCACACTTCCCCCTATCTCTTTAGTGACAATGAGTAAGTCACAACACATGGTAGCAATGAATATTTAAAAAAAAAAAAGATCAACAAACATTTTAGATGATCAACATTTCAAACCAGAAAAAATAAATCACAATCAAACACTGTAAATCAACATTCCAACCCTAAAATAAAAATTGAAATCAAAATAACGAATAGGAGACTATGTAGATTGAAGAGGAACAAGTAAACGAACGAAGCAACAAGGACCTCCGAACAAGGAAATGATGCAAATCTACAAGTGTGATCATATTAGAACTAATTGAATTTTCTGAACAAAAGAAATTCAAATAACCTTTTTATATTGTTTTGTGCTAAAGCGTTGCACCGATTGTACTTATAATCAGTGTATAGAGAGTTATTTTTTTACAACATTTTATTCTCTAACTAGTATAGTAAGTTCTTTACACATGTTATATGATTACCAAATGGCACCAATAATAGTTTCAACATCATTTTCTTTGCAACTGGTGTAAAAAGATTCCATAAAAATCTTATTCTGCACTGCCAGTGCATGAAGGTATATAGGTGTTGATGTTGTTGCTGAGGACACAAATGAATTTACGAAGTGAAGCTCATACATGGCGTTAGGGAAGAATCCAGAAACCAATACATGAGGGGATAAAAATTGAAAACTACTTAAAATATGGGGGGCCAACACTAATTTTTACATTTTTTTATAAGTAAAATAAAAAAAATTTCTGAAAAAAATTACAAGTGACCAATGAAATTGGGGGGAAGCACCCCCCTCTCCCCTCCCTACATACGTCCTTGCATGGCGTGAATGGAGGGTGCACCAACATTGGAGATGACATGGCCACAACAGATTCCCTCAACGAACAAAAGTAATAAAAAAATGAAAAGAGATATAAAAAAGAGTAATGAAAAAAAAAATAAGGCACCAAATATTCTTGTTTCTTGATTTATGTGTGTCAACCTTATATGGTGACCATGCTAATCTTCTCTATATCGTTTCTACTTCAACTATTAACACCGTGACAACAAACCTTCTTTTGAAGATGGATTCATTTTTCTATCGAGATGCCAAATTAACTTGGTAATAGTCTTATAATTAGAAGATCTTTGCAATTGCAAGATTATTTTCTTTTTCAAAATATAATAATAAAACCATTATTGGAGTGTTGTGATACCCATGATTCAGGGACTCAAAATCCCTTGCTTGCTTTCATAAGGAGTGATATTATAAGGATTTGAAGGAGGAAAGCATACCTTAAATGATGTACCGGATGAATGTTGTATGTGGGAACAAAGTTACGTGACCGAACTTGATTCTTGTTTTTTTACAGCAAATATCACACACAGAGATAAAAGAATGGGGAAAGCAGAGAGTAATCCCAAAGGTTACGTTCAGTTCCAAAATAAGAGGCTTGCTCACTAATAAGTAATATCCACAATGCACATAATGGGGAATGTGTGGGATACGGTTATCTAACCATTCCCCCTCTAATTCAAAAATTAAAAGGGAGAAAATTACATTTAAAAACTTGAGAGAATTGCACATTAAGATCCAGCATTTTTCATAATTGTGACAAAGCCTTATTTCTTAATTGGGCTTTATATTTGGGCTTGATCCACCAAGGGTGAATAACCCAACAGATATATTGTTGTTCCAAAAGATTGAAATTTTCAAATTAAAGCTGAACATATTTTTTGAAAAGAAAACTTCAGAAAAATAAACAACACTCTGAGAGAGTTAAATAGAAAATAAAGACAAAAACAATGAAGTCAATATAAAATCTAAAATCTAAAAAAAAAAAACGCCCTACTATTTATAAATATATTTACACACGCACACTACGAGTCTTAGCTATTAGCTATAGGTTTTGCATATACTTACTTTTGCGATAACGCAAGGAAAAAAATATTCAGATTGGCCAAAAAATAATATTGTTATGAGCATTATTTACCCAGAGCAACTATAAACCAGCATTTCTGTCCTCCATTTGGTTTGGTATATATAGTGATAAGATCAAAGGGAAGCTTTCCACGAGTGAATACACTACCATCTTAATTTAAAGATGATCAATGCATGAACTCTCTCGCTTATGTTTTTTTTTTTTTTGTCACCTTTAATTATACCATGTGCTCTTACAATTCTACATTTAAACTCTACATAGTCAACGGATAAGATCAATTGATTGAGTTACTTCTTCTATTTAAATAAAGTGATGATTTAAATAAAATGATGAATTACAAATTCTTTAATCTAATTATCAAGAAAAAAATTACATTACTACAAAAAAAAATTAAAAAAACACTCCCGTATTTATCACTCCTATATGTATGGGAGCACTTCTTAAGCGCTCCTATAAGGAGAGCTTATGGGAGCGCTCCCATTGGAGAAGTCTATAGGAGCACTAATATTGATGAGTGCTCTCTTAGAATTCCTCGACCAATGTGTTTCTCATCATAAGTGCTCCTATGAAGCTACCATACAGCAGTGCTTTTATTAAAAGCACTTTCATAAGAGAGTCTATTGGAGCATTTCTGTAGAGAAGGGCTCCTATATGTATAATATTTTTTTTAAAAAAATTCTTTTTAACACTGCATATTCTCTAATAAATCAAGAAATAATTCACCAAACTCAGAAATTTTGATAGTATCATCACTATCAAATAAATTTTATAATTAAAATAACTTGTCAAATAAATTATAACCATAACTATTATTATCAAGAATACACAATTAGTCTTTGAACATGCAAGCTATTTGTATTATAACTATTTGTAAGTATAAGAATATTATTGGATAGATAAATTTGAGTGAGGCAACATTAAGACTAAAAAATTAGAACTTTTATGCCTGCAAAAAAAAAGAAAAATAATTTAATTAAACCATAAAATATCATAATAATGAATAGATCAAAAAAAATGAATCACTCCAATACTAAAATGAAGATATGCCCAGACACGAGCTTTTTCGAAAACATGAACATGACAATTTTCCATGGACTAACCTCGTGCAAGATAATAGACATCAAATATTCAGAAAAGAAGACACTAACTAGCATTAAGGCATTAGCTGTGAAGCATATAAATGAACTAAACTACTAGAGTTTTTGCAAGTTAGACTCTACCGGCTCCCCTGAAAGTGAAATCCTATTGCAGATGAACTGAAGAATTGGCGGAATATTAGGATCTCAAAGACAAAGCAAGATGGGCTACAATAGCATGAGTCTAGGTCAACACTTTCACTGCAATTTATATTTTCAAAATTTAAGCATTTGTTGGAGTTACTAAAGTTGTTAACAAGTCTCATAATGAGAATCACGAGTCATTAGATACAAAACAAATATCCTTTTGTCAACAAAGATTGACATACGGAGTGCAAGACAACAATCCAATGAAATAAACAAAAGTCTCACAATGAGTTATTAGATGATGAGAATGAATACTAATTGGATGTTGGTAAAATTTACATAATTACCAGCCACCAATGAAAGATCACAAACGATACCAAGGTGATTTTCTCTAGTGCTCAGCTAGAAGCACGTTAGAAATAAATGAATTGTACATCAAAATGTACAAATAAACGATTCGTATATGGCTACATACACAGTAAAGAATCTAGTATACTAGATATAAAGCATTGAAACATACTGGAAAATCAGGAATAATGCTTGATAGTCATGTTATAGTGTGGTTGGGATCGTCCAAATCCAACAAAGGAAGAAGATTTGCCAGCTGTTGGACGTGATGAATAGGTTCTCAATGCATACGCTACAGAGAATTCTTCCAATGTTTTGCTTTGTTCACATAAACTATTAAAAGCTAGAAAATGTTAGACTAAAAATTCAATATCTTACTCAATCGATAAAATACTATCAGAATATCATTCTAACAATAAATTAATGTAAAAATATATAACAATGATTTGTGTTTGTATAACTATGCCAGATCTGGGGTTCGAACTTGACAACCCAAGCAGCAAGCTGAAGCGGAAGCTGAGTGACAATGAAGCACGACGGGGTTGATGGCGATAGGTGGTGACGCTGTGGAATCAATGAAGGCTGAAGTGGTGAGACTATGGACGATGGCTGAACAAATGCCGGCGGTCGACAGAGATGGACACGTAGACTTCTATAGCAAAGGGACACGAACGAGGACAAGACGCGCGATGCGATTCAAGCAGGAGATTGAAGCAGACGCTCAATAGCGGCGACAAGGGCTAGATTGATGATCACCAGCACAAAGGCTTCGGAGAGCTGGTGGGAGGCGAGGGAGAGAAGCTTGGGGGTAGGGTTCGAATTAGCAACAAATCTGAAATTCGGGGTTGTAGTTTACAGTCTAGTAACTTAAATGATGAATTTTTTTTTTTTAAATAATCAAGACATACAGGTTCACAGCCTACACGAGAGAGAAGTGGCGTTTCCATCCACCTTTTTCATTTAAATATTTTTTAATATTTAATATT